CTACATCAGTTGGATTTTTTGAATAAATAGACTCAAATATATTCCATTCATAATATAATTTACTTGATTGTTGTTGTAAAACAATAGTAAGTGGTAAACAAGGATGACATCGTACAGATTTTTGATTAATAAATATATTATTTGTTTGTTTATAATTATTAATGGTAATTTGATCACAAGATGCAATGATAGTATATTGAGAAGTTTGTTGTAATGAATGAATTGGTTGATTATGAGGAGTAATAAAAGAATTACTTTGATGTAATTTAAGAAATGAACGTTGTTCTTCATTTTCAATAATATATTGAGAAAACCCTTTACACCGATTGAGGAGTGATGTTATGAGCATAACAAACAAGAATACAATCTTTATTTGATTTGAGAGAAATGAATCTTAAATTCATGAAAGGAAGAGAAAGAAACAAAATAAATTTTTTGATTAATTTTATTTTTGATTTAATAAAAAATAATAAAAAATAATAAAATAATAAAATAAATAATAATAAAAAGAATAAAACATTTTGATAAAAAAGATAACAAAAAGAAAAAAAAAAAAAGATTGAATAAATTATTAATTTTTGTATAATGGAAATAACAACAGAACGAAGTACATTAATTGATATAACTCGGAATATAACATTTAGTATTGCACATGATATATCTAAAGGATTAAATTCAGGGAATCGAGAAGAAATAATAATAGCATTAGAACGAGGAATTCATTCATTAGGGAAATTATTAGTTGTAACACGATGGTTAGGAAGAAATCCAGTATTACATGATATAGATACATTTAATAGAGTATGTCAAGAGTCAATAATTCAATTACATTCTATTGTCAAAAGATTATTAAAAAATGGAAAAAAAGAAATACAACAACGAACAAGATTTCCAGAAATATCAATTGCATTAGAAGTATTAATAAAACGTACATATCCACTTCCACATATTGAAATAAAACAACCAAATTATAAAAAAATTATACATTTATTAGAACAAAGAATATGGAGATATTATTATATTCATTATAAACAAATTCAATGTGATCAAATAGATATTTATGGAGGAATGATATTTATTCATAATAAAGAAACATTTAGTTGTTGGATAACAATTCAAAATCCAGAAATAGCATTATTAAGTAATGAAATTAAATGGAGAATTATTAAATTAACATTTTTTATTCCAAATGAAATAAAAGTAGAAGATAAAATTATAGAAAGAATAAATAAAGATATATTAAATGAAAATGGAAAAGAACCAATTAAAATATTAATTGAACAATTAAATATTATTGCAAAAAATACACATTTTAATTCAATATTAAATGAATGTACAACATTAATAAATAAAAATATATTTCCAAAATTAAAAAGTATAATTGAAACAAATGGAGTTGAAAAAATATTAAAAATATATTATTGGGGAAATACAATTTGTTTAGAATATCATTTAAATAATCAAACAAATACTTTTAGAATAACACATATTCCATCTAAAAGTATTGATTTCTTTAATACTTCATTTTCTTTAGAAAAACAAATTATTATTATTGCTCAAGCAATGGCTGAACAAATTAATTTAGAATATATGAAAGAATTAAATTATTATTC